AGAGCGGCACACCCCAACCTGAGCTCACCTTCCCCCTATTTGTAAGTTTCTGTGCAGGGCAGTGGGGTGGATGGGCAATAACCTGCGTGCACATGGTGCAGAGTTCAATGGGTTTCAGCCAGGTGAAGCCACCACCATAAGACACTGGGCTCAGTGAGTCCAGCCTTGGTTTGGGACATCCTGTTTCTAGGGTTTGCAGGCAGAACTGTGCAGCCCAGGGGCCCAGCGTGGTCTGCGAGCCAGCTTGAGCAAGGTGTTCAGCAGCTCCAGCTGTGGTTTCTGATCACAGCAGAAAGCCCATGCTGTCCCTGGGACTGTCCTGACACCCTCAGCATCCAGGCTGTGCTGTGCGAGGCATCAGCCGTCAGTCACCTGCCAGGGGCCGGGCAGGAGCTGGTGCCCGTGGCCCGCGGCCATATGGGTGTCCTCAGTCCTCCGCGGGGTGTGTGTGTGTGGCCTCATGGCAGCCTCACTAGTGCCTGACCTCTGTCGCTGTCCAGGGGAGGGACTGCACAGAGCCGGGACATCATCTTGCTGCAGTGAGGCGCTCTGCTGAGTGACTGACTCGGAGCCCGAGGAGCACAGGCAGTGCACCGGCTACCGGCTCCACCGCCAGCCTCCTCTTCACCTCTCCTTGGCCCAACAGGGGCTGCTCGGAGCTCTGCCGGATCCCCATGGTGGAATACAAGCTGGACAGCGAGGGCACGCCCTGCGAGTACAAGACCCCCTTCAGGAGGAACACCACGTGGCACCGTGTGCCTGCGCCTGCCCTGCAGCCCCTGTCCAGGGCCTCCCCTGTGCCCGGCACACCTGACCGGCTGCAGCTGCTCCAGCAGGCCCAGGCTGCCATCCCTCGCAGCACCTCCTTTGACCGGAAGCTGCCCGATGGCACGAGGTAATGCAGGTGCCCTTGGCGCAAGGATACTCCTTGAGAGCTCTGGGGTTGGAACCTGGGTCTGTAAGCGGAAAGGCCTGGCTACTCGGCTTGGTCACTTGCAGTTTGCAAGCTGAGAAGCAGCAGGAGGCAATAGCAAGCCAGGCCATCCACCGTGGTGCGTGGGGCTGGCTGCTCCTGCCCCCGCGAGGGGCCAATGAATGTGGTTTTGCCCACCAGGGCCACGCCATTCCTTCTCATTGGCATTCTCCCTCCCATTCACCCGGGACTCCGAACTATCTTGGAAAGATACCCCAGGAACCACCCTGCATGAGGGCGTAGGTCTGAGTAGGAGTAAACTGAGACGTCAGCAACAATTCTGGCTTCTTGGTGTAAACGGTAAACCCTGAAAGGCTCTGGGGGTCATAGTGCTTCTTGATTTCTCTCTCATTTATTGCAACGTGAGTTGAGTTTAAAATGAAGCATTCAGTGAAAAAATGCACTTGTGTAAAAGTTAACCTAGCAGCACTGGAAGCTGGTGAGTGTTCGGCTGCCTCGGCTGTGCAGGTCCTTCTAGGGGAACGCAGCCATGGAACTGGCCTGGGGCCGACTGTTCCTTCCTGCTCCATCTGGGTGGCTTTCATGTGGCTTGTAAGCCATGCAGAGGCCCAGAGCTCCCTGCACACCCCTGCCCGGCTGCCTTACTGCCCTCGTCTGGCATCTCTAAATCATGATGCGCCCTCGCCGTGGGCTCATCCTCCTGTACCCAGCTTCCTCATCCGACAGATCATCACGGCGAGAATCAGACCTCCTCCGGCATCCTGAGGCTTGCACGGTCATACATGCAAGGCATTTAGTGGGCCTGGCTCCGGCAAGCCTGTACGTGGGAACTGGGTGACTCGATAAGATTAGATCATGTGGTCTTGCCCTGCCTTGTCGGGGCCCTTCTTTCCGGAGTGAACACAGACGTGGCGGTACCTTCATCTGGCATCACGTCACCTTGGCCCCGGGTCTCCTTACTCTTGGGTCTGCTGAGGTTATCAGTTCCTCAGACGCGAAGGAATGCACACGGGTGGCCCCAGTGACTGGGGCTTGCAGCCACAGGGCCCCCCAGGGAGGTCGCAGGGCCTCCCTTATGCCAGCAGCTTTCAGTAAGGTTCAAGGAAACAGCAGGAAGATTCTAGAGCAAAAGGCCAACTTGGCAAGCGCATCTTTATCAAGGGACTTTTCATGAATATTACTGGGTTTTGTGTGTCCGGGAAAAGAGATGAATAGGATTACATTCAATCGAAGTATGAAAAGAAATATTTTTCCAAATCAGGGTTTTCTTTGTCTGCTTTAAGTACAGGACCAAAGTGTGACTCGCACTCAGTGCATGCGGCAAGGCTGGCCGCCCGTCACTGCCGGCTCAGGTGGGAAGGGCCCTCTGCCCTCACCAGGGAGTCCTCTGTGCTTTCCCCCCGGTGGCCACGGTCCTGCCCTGTCCCCCCGCGCACACTGTTGCCAGCTGTCAGCCACTTCCGGCCTCCGGGCATCACCAGTTCTCAGTTCACTGTTCCCTGATCTGTTCTGCTTCCCAATGCGATGCATTTTTCTCCCTTTTCTTTGTCTTTGTCAAAGTGAATTTATTTGTGAAACGAGGCGAGGCAGCCCGGTGCACTGTTAACACTTCTTGCCACCTTTCAGAAGCTCGCCCAGCAACCAGTCATCCTCCAGTGACCCGGGACCCGGAGGGAGCGGACCTTGGAGACCACAAGTGGGCTATGACGGGTACGGCCATTTTACCGCATCTCCCTGGGGCTCCCTCCAAGGCATTTCCTGTGAGCCTGCTGCATGGGAGGCCATGCAGGGACCGCAAAAATGCCGATGTGTTTACCCTAAGTGGCTCGTTCAGGTTAGGGAGGCCCCCCTTCTCCATAGGTAATGCCCACTCACCTCCTGAGCCTGCTTTTCCTTGGGTGGAGGCAAGGTTTTCCGAACATGCAGATTAGGGGCTTGACTCTGTGGATGGACCCTTGGGACTCTTCCCTCCCCTTAAATTGCTGATGAGGAAACCGCTCGGAATCAGAGAAAAGGGTCCAGCACTTGAGGGCTCTTTGCTTCCTCAGGGCAGCAGTGGAGGCCTCCTCAGCACCCTCAGCTAGGAATGTCCCCTTGTGGCATTGCGTATCGTAGGGCCAGCATCTCGGGCAGAGCCGGGAATTGCTGGACATGGGCACTGAGTGGAGGAGGTGGAGGCCGCAAGCCGGTGCTCTCCTGCGGGAGGGCTGCCTCCCTGCCGAGGGGCCGTGAGTCCACGGTGTGCCCGGCAGGTGCGTGGGCTTAGGGGAGGGCCCCCCATGAGGGGAGGGGCTGCTGGGAGTGCTCTCCTGGGACCTGCCTTTCTTGTGGTTTGGCTTAGAAGCAGTTATTTGTAGTCTGAGTTCATGTTCCTTCTCATGGATAAGAGATGGCAGTCTCAAACATTGTACAGCAAGTATTTTTTTCTAAATGAAATTATGTTTAAAAGTAGGGAGGTGGGTTTTTTTCTTTGTTTTGTATCTGTTTTTTGTTTTGTTTTGTTTGTTGTATAAATGGAAAAACTTCTGGCTTTTTCTGTAAGCCAGGATCTGTGACCAGGGGTCTATAACCAGACTTCTGTGCATAGAATCACTTCATCATGTGAACAAGTTTCCTTTGACCTTTTTCTTTCATGAGATTACATTTTCCTGTTTGGGGTTTTTAATAAAACAACGGCCACTTAGATGTGGTTTGGAGTCGACCATCATTGTCTCTTCCCTTCAGCTGAAGTAAAGATCTAGCAGAGCCATGTAAGCGAGGCGCGGGAATGCACGGCTAAATGGGTGAATGAACACATGGAGAAAGAGATACGCCCAGTGAGCTTGTCCTTAGCTCGCCAGGACCTCGCCTGACCCTGGACCGTCTCCTCCCACCCCATGGTGTGACCCTCCTTTGTCCATAACGCTGGAGTGCCATTATAGATCCCAGACACTTGCCACTTCTCTGACGGGGCGGGCCGACAGATTCCGTATTTCCATCTGCCGGCCTCTGACAGGGGTTCCCTTCCATGGCTCATTTAGAAGCCAGCAGCCCAGGCCTGCACTGGGGGGGTGGGGGGGCGGTCTGGCAAGAAAGGATAAGCTCAGCTCGTGGCCCTTTCCAGGTGCCAGTCTCCTCTGCTGCTCGAGCACCAGGGCCCCCTGGAGTGTGACGGCGCCCGGGAGCGAGAGGACGCCCTGGAAGGAAGCAGGCACCCAGGTAACGGGCGCTGGATCCCACGATTGTTCCCGCTGGGCCCACATTGGGAGTGCGAGCCCCTGTGTGCACTGAGCGCTCTCCCGGTGCGTGGTGGCATGTGGCTGTGGGTGGCTAAGGGTGGCTGCGGCTGGCATGCCCACCAGGTGGAACCCTTTGGGTCTGTCTGCCCTGGTGGCAGCTCCGCTGGCAAGACTAGGGAGCCCTAGAACTGCAATCCCATTCATTATCCCAGGCCATTTGTCTCTTGTTCTTCCTTATTCTTTTACTAACAACGGGAGCGGAAATTCACCTCTTCCCTCTCCACACGGCAGAAACCAAATGGCACGGCCCGTCGTCCAAACTCCTGAGTTCCTACAAGGAGCGTGCCTTACAGAAGGATGGAAGCGGCACAGAGTCCCCCAGTAAGCTGTCTCACGTAAGTCCTTCCTTCAGAAGCCTGAATGCTGAGCCGGGGGTTTTCCAGGGTGTCCTTTGCCTCAGAAGGTTATTGGCAGAAAGGCTAGCAAAGACTAACGGCCTCTCCACAGTGGCACGCCCTGCT